CCCACCTGGAGGCTTGCGGCGGGTCAAACCCAAGGCTGCATTTGTTCCTCTCCTCACACAACCTTATGGTGGGACTGATGGTATTTAAAATGCTCTGGGGTTTTTAATTATTTTAATTTTAATTTTTAACCAGAGTGCACTGTGGACGTCTTCATTAACATGAAAAACGACTAACTCTGAGATGTGAAGAACCTCTGCAGAACTTCCTCAGCATACTTTAGTGTTAATAATGGTTAATAACTGAATGCAAGATTTGTAGCTATTTATTTCCTGTTACTGAAGTCAGAGTCCTCAAAGGTGTCTAATAAACCAAGCACTTCCACTAAAGCCAGCGACAAAGTCCCATTAGAAACTGGGATGGAGCCTGGAGCTTACGGCAGACCCCAGGGGAGATGTTCCAAGATGAAAACAGGCTGGTGGCAGTGACCAAACCAGCGAAGGGTGCGGTGGGGCTCTCTGGAGCCCTGTGGAAGCCACAGAGCTTTCCTGTGCAATTCCTATCGTGCTTACTCGAAACAGCATGTTCTGTGCTGTGTCAGCTCAGTGACAGGTCATTTCAGTGCCGGGTGTCGTCACCATCACCCCTTGAGATTACTGTGATCAAATCAGCTTACTGGAATTTTAGCAGGTTGGAGAAAATGCTCGTCAGCATGCAGTAGTCTAAGCACACAGTTCAGGTTAATTTGACCTCTTTAAGGTGAGCGGAGCAGAGGATTTCCCCCAGGGACGACCAGGGCTGGCTCTGGTGTGGGTGCAGGCAGGCGCTGGCCGGGGTCTCCCTGTGGGCTGGTTTTGTTCTCCACCCCACAGAGACCACAGGCAATGAGGGCTCACCTGACAGCTCTTATGAGGTGCTATAATAAATATGGATATAAATGTGAAGAAACAGAGGACTTTTATTTTCCTCTCAGGCAACACAGAAATAGGCTGTTAGGCCAGAGCAAGCAGCCTAATTGTGTTTTCCAGGTACAATTGGAAGAATTTTAAATGTAATTTCAGTGCCTTGTGTGCCTCGTTTATCTGTTGACCGAGAAGAATGTGCAGCTGTTTGCAATTCAGATATTGCTGTGGCAGGATTTCCTGGTCTTTTCAGAAACCTCAGACTGAAACCGATAGCTTTCCGTGGAGACAAACCCCAAATAAAAACAGCCTGCTACTGTCCTGGTACTCCTGTAATCAGTAAACGTTGCTCTGCGGGCTGCTGGAGGCCCGGCGGGGAGCCCCCAAGGGAGGCTCAGCCCCAGCACCTGGGCATGGAGCTGGGCTTGGGGCTGATCCTCATCAGACGGGTGGGCTGGGGCCTGGATTCACCATGATTCCCCTCACTGGAGCTCATTTCTGGACACCTGAGTTTTTGGCCTGTGATCCACCTCAAGAAACAGCTCTGCTTTGCCAGTCATGGTGGCAGAGACAAGAAAGAAAAGCAGCGATTATTTCCACGTGGACAACTTGGAGTTAAAGGCAGCTGCATGGGTGTCCAAGTGAAAGCAACCGTGGCCACAATAACCAGAAAATCTGGCGAAGGTTGATTCATACCCCAAAGAGAACAAAGAGATCCGACACTTAAAAAGAGACGTTAAACTCAGTCATGTTTTTGCAATTTGGTAAGGCAAATGTTATGATTTTGTAACTCATGCCAAGTAACATGCCTAACTTATTAGTGGAAATATGTCTAACTTAGCTAATCTGTTTGCTTATTCTTACCAAGTTATGCCTGAGCTGACTGTACCTGCAAAGTTCTGTGTCCATGTCGGAGCCCGAATGAAATGCCTGCAATACTCATATTTCAGCAGGGTCGAGATTCTTCCTTGCTGTGTAGAGTTGCTAAGAAACAGACTAGGAATTCCTTAGATGTGTTAATTTTCATTTGCAAGTAAATGTATGTTGTTATTTGCTGGGCTTCCTGGAAAACACAGGCATCAGCAAAGGGCCCTCGCGAGGTCACACGAGTGAGTACAGAGCCAGTGCCAAACCCAGAGGTGCAAGTGCTCAGAGACCTGCACAGAACAGTGTCAGACATGGTTACTTTGCTTTTACCCTAAGCCACACGGACACTGTTTGAGGTCTTTACCAGACCTCAGAGAAAGGGAAGAGAGCTGCCCAGAGCCTGCGTGCTTGCGGACGGGGTGCTTCCAGCTGCCCATCGCCGTGAGCCATGGACAAGTCCTGCTCTGCCACAGCAGAGCACACCTCTGTCCGTCTGGCCCAGGACTCATGGCTGTTGTATGCATTTATGTCTGAAGAAACAAATATTCCTAGCCTTGGGAGATGCGTGCCTGCTTTTAGCATTGGGAAGGCCCACGAGCCTGGGCACCCAGCGTAAGAAAGGCAGTTAGATAAATGGTGCTGTTCTAGTGGTGGAGAGAGGACACTCGGGTTGCTACACCACGATGTGTGACAGCAGCACGGGGTTTTGAGGGCCGTGAGCTGCACGGCTGATCAAAAACAGGATGTGGGCGATCGGCAAGCTCTGTGGGGCTCTGCAGCGTGGCGGGGGATCAAAGGTGCCACAGCCTCTCGAGGGGAGGAAGAAACACACGGGCAAACTGAAGAGAGAGCAAAAAGAAGGAGAAAGCTTCTAGAGCTGCATTGCTTCTTGCAGGGAGCAGCTGGGAGCAATTCCTGCTGTGCTCCCGGGATGTGCACGGGGATGCTGTGGTGGTGTGGGCTGGGTCCGTGGCGAGGCTGGGGCCAGCACGCCTGGGGGCACGGGGCAGCACGTGCTGGCTGGGGAGGGCAAGCCTTTGTGCCAGCTGCAGCTCCTGGGGACATGCTGGTGCTGAGCACGGTGCTTATGGGGCTGCCTGGCTTCCTGAGAGCAATGGACTGACTTTTCTTATCTCCCATGGATAAAGGGGACAATCCGAGCTGCCAACAGAAAGAATCAAAGAATCACAGAATCAGAATACCCTGAGTTGGACGTGACCCACAAGCATCATCGAGTCCAGCTCCCGGCTCCACACAGCACCACCCCAAAATCAAACCCTGTGTCTGAGAGCATTGTCCAAATGCTTCTTGAACTCCAGCGGGCTCTGGGCCATGACCACGTCCCTGGGGAGCCTGTTCCAGTGCCCAACCACCCCCTCAGTGAAGAACCACAGAATGGTTTGGGTGGGAAGGGACCTTAAAGACCATCTATTTCCAGCCCCCTGCCAATGTCCCTCCAGAGCAGGTTGCTCAGAGCCCCATCCAGCCTGGCCTTGAACACTTCCAGGGATGGGGCATCCTCAGCTTCTCCGGACCGCCTGTGCCAGTGCCTCACCACCCTATGAGTGAAGGATTTCTCCCTTACATCTAATCGAAATCTCCCCTCTTTTAGCCTGAAGTCTGCCCCTCCCAGTGACCGGGTCAGGGTGATCCGTCCCCGAGCATAAACCACAGGAAGGACAAGGTCACCATATCAGCCCCTGGTTTAGCAGCAGATGGGCAGAAGTTCTGCGTGAGGTGACGGTGATGGGACTGAGCATGCAGTGGCATTTCCAGCAGCAGGGCTGGCACAGCACCTCCGTGCCCGGCACTGCGCGTGCTGCTAAGGGGGGAGCGGGGCGCGGGGTGCAGCCAAGTTCCCTCTGGTTACACGGGTCGGTCCCTGCTGCTCAGGCACTGGTGGTTGGCAGCTCAGTGTGGCTTTTCAGGGGCCTGGCAGTGCCTCATCTGCTGCTCCTCAGACCTGTTCGCCTCTTCCACGCCCCTGCAGCTCTCCAGCCAGCCGTGACCCTTTTCAGTGACCTTCCCACTCTGCAGTTATTTTGCTCAGCTCTCTTGGCCTGTAGTTCATATTGCTGAAGTTTTTTCTACAAAGCCATGAAGCACATTCTTGCTTCTGCTGGGAAAATTTCAAGTACAGTGGAAAAGCATGCTGCCTTCAAGGCTGTATTGCCCTGCACAAACTCACCCCTCGCAGATTACAGGTCCAGGGCTGGGAGCTACTGACAGACGTGAGGCTTTTGCATTTCCCTGTCTCAGACTCGAGTTTCTGCTTGCCCTTGGTTTTGTTCCGTTCCACTTCAGCTCTGCTCGGGGCAGGCACCTCTCATGTCGGTGGCCGGTTCACTGTTTTTCAGGGATGGCTGCATTTCTTCTGCCTTCGTGCATGTGGTTCTGCTCTGGTAGTTTCTGCTTTCAGAGCAGACATTTCCTTTCTCGTGCAGCTGTGGTAGAAGTGTTCTGTGGCAGCTGGTGGCACCTAGCTCTTGTAGCAGTGAGAAGATCACGGGACGTGCTTATGTGGGGTTACTCTCTCCTGCCTGCAACTCAGACAGCAAGCACGCCTCGCACACGCATAAAGCCAAGAATTCATTGTTAATATCACTCAGTTCTTGACACTGTAATTCGATGTAATTATTCATCTGGACCCAACTGATACAAAAAGAAGTAGGATGTCTGCTATGTGTGGTGCCTTTAGCACATTAGATACTAATTCCTGTTCTCCTTGCAGCCCCTAAGGCCAGCTCTGCCCGGCTCCTTTCTTTGGCTGCCTGCGGGTGAGCTGTGCACGGCCATGGGGTCCCTGCCTGTGCCCGTGCATCCCCCCATGCCTGCTCCTCTCTGCGCCGTGCCCCATGCCCTGCTGCATTCCCTGGCACTGCCGCACGTGTCTCAGCACCACATGCCTGCTTGTTCCTGCTAGGTGCACAACCTGCGGCTAAGGCAGCACCCGGGGCTGCTGCTGGCAAGGTGGGACTGCCCCGGGCAGGTGGGGACAGACCTGATGGAAGTGCTGGGGACCACAAGGCAGCGTGGCACCCGATGGTGTTCTGCCTCGGGGGATCTGCAGCTGGAACAGCTTCAGTAAGGTTTGTCTCATTCATTGGAAAACATTTTTCTTAAAAGGTTAAAGAGGCAGAAATGGGATGGCTTTCACTTTGTGCAAATGAAATGTTGTTGTAGGCTCAGAACGTATTTTAGCCAAACTCTATTTATAAACAGCTGCCAGTGGTGGGAGGAACCTGCAGCTACTTCTCCCTTGTGCCCAGCTCCGACTCCATCTGCATGAAAATTGGCTGGGACCGCACTGGTGCCTGAGCAGCACTGGGCTCTTGGCCACCATGGCAGGACAGGGACAGGGACGGGGACAGGGCGGACAGCTCCTTGCTGCTGGCATGGCTCTGGCATGGGTCCTGTGCCGGCAGTGCCTGCGGCTGGGTGGGATGCTCACCGGCCATCACTTTGGTCTCCTTGCTTCCCAGAAAGCCAGCAGCAGCTGTTGGCTTTTCAGGCTGTCAGCACCTGAGTTACTCTGCCTGTGCCCGTTGTCTGCAGGTAGTGTGCCCCTGCTTTGCCACTCCTGAACGCATTCCTGCCTGGAAGGGAGGCAAAGTGCTGCTCCTCCTACAGCATCCCCTCTGACGCTGAGCGGCAGGAGGCAGCCTCGTCCAGCCCCAAGGGCAGCACACACACAGCCTGCTCACACAGCTCGGCTGGGGACGACTCATGCTTACATTTCCTTTCATCCCTTGGCAGCATGACAAGTTAGGATTCTGAGATCCTAAGTTAGAAATCCTCTGTGGGAGAGGAATCCCAAGGTACCCTTTTCATAAATGTAAGACATTTAGTTGACGAAATGGAAATGCCTCGCTGCAGGTTGTTGAAAGGATGCACAGTGCTCGGTCTCTGGGCGAACCTCTCCTGGTTTGTGCAGCTGCAGGGACACTGGTCTCCAGAGCCACCCTGCCTGTCACCCTGCCCTGTCCTTCGGGTGGCTCTGCATCCCCAGCGGTGGCACTGGGTTACGCAGCTTCTGCTGTGGTCCTGCTACAGAGACAGAGCGGTGCTCCTGTTCCTCCCAGGCTGGGAGGTGGGGACAGAGCGGAGCAGAAACTGGAGGGTAAGCAGTTAATGACAGATGAGCCTAAAGAACCCTGCAAATACCCTGCAGCACCTGCTTCTTAGTATTTCTGAGACGAATTTGAGTTACTGTGGCCCTAATGAGGCTCACCGACTTTCAAATTCCCGATGTGCTCTGGTGTCTCTGCAATCACAGGTGCTACTTACGAAATTTTAGAAAATGGGACTTGTTGAATGGAAACTTCCTTCTTAAAAGGTCACTCGGAAAATGGTTTATAATAGATTCATGCAAATAGAGCTTCAACCACGAGCCGCTAATTTGGGACGTGAAAGGGGGAGAGCTGGTTGTGTCACCAATAGATGGCACCACGAAGTATCTCAACGTGTTCCCAGAGCGTTTTGCACCAAGAAGAAAGGCAAGTGCTGGGGAGAGGTGGACAGGACCCGTCCCTGTCCTGTTCTCACCGGGACTGGGGGGCAGCTCGGCTCCCAGGGGCTGCCCCGACCCGTGGGACACCCTCTGCTTGCAGCGCTACCTCCTGCACTGCGGATCAGCCTTGCTGCTCCCCGTCCTGAGGTGCTGAGGAGCCTCCCAGCCGCCAGACCTTCCTCAGTGGTGTTTCCAGACCGAGGGAACCCTAGGGACAGGACCTGGCAAGCAAGGAAGCGCATGCAAGGGCTTTTTGGATTATTTCAGAGCTAAGGAAATAGCTTGGGAAGAACAGAAAATGATCTCTCTGCCCTCCAGCTGTCAGCCTGTGCCACATACCCACCCCTCTCCTCGTGAGGGTACCTGCAAGTGGGTGCTGCCAACCAGCTTCCAAATGTCATCATCCATTTGTCTTGGACGTTTTTTTTCCAACAAAGGATTGATTTTTGAATCAATTACACCAAATTCATTTACAGCACAGTGAAAAGTTGTTGATTAAAAGATGCAAACTCACAGATGAACAAGAACAGTCAAAGCATTTTGGCTCTGTTTCTAATCAAGGTCTGATCTCAACAAGAGGATTTCCAAATCCCAAAGCCCAAAGATGTCAAAAATGTTGTATTGTATGAAAACAAAAAATCATTCAGAGCGGGCGATTACATTCTTATGTAAACCTGGCTTCATTCGGCAGGGTTGAGATGAGTTCAGCTGTGGTCAGGAAATGGCCGGCGCTGTTCACGCCACCCTCGCCCCCCTGCGAGCTTGTAGGTCCGTCTGCTGGCTCACGATGTGTTTATCTCGTGCCTTGCCCCTTCCATGTTCCTTTAAGGAGTATTTCAGCTGCTGTGGCCCAAAGCTGGCTCCCGGAGGCACGGTACATTCTGCAGCCACTGGGCATCGTGCAGGATGTGCCCAGGCCCAGCTGAACCACTCAGACAGGGCGAAATGAGGCCCTGGTCCTGTGGCAGCCCATGGGGCTTACGGGGCAGGAACCGGGGGCTGCGGTAAGCCGGTTACACGGTGGTGGTGGGAGCGAGGTCACCCTCGGTGGATTAGGAGGCGAGAACAGTCGGTGCTCCTGTCGCGGGGGGGGGAGCACAAAGGGCCATTGTGTGCAGAATACAAAATCCCTGTGTATTACCGCGGGCTGACATGCTGAAAGACCCGCTCTACATGCCAGCACAAAAGCCGCCTTGCTTCAGATTGTTTGTTTATGTAAATTTCAGCGGTGCATCTAATTACGAGGCCGAGCAGCCCGAGCGCCGGGCGAGGTGCTGATTGGGTCCCGGTGGCGGTGCCGGCGGACAAGCCCCCGCCAGCCCGTGGCTGTCACCGCCGGCCCCGTCTGGCCGCAGAGGGGACACGCGGTGACCGTGAGGACGTCCCGGGAGCAGCGGGACGGGGCCGGCAGGTGCACGGCCTGAGCCCCCGGGCACGGTGCTCAGCATGACCGAGGACGTGCCGGCGGTGCCCAGCATGCCCGAGTGCAACGGGAGCCTGGTCCCTGAGAAGGGACCGCTCCAGGTCATTGGCATCATCGATGACATCGCCAGGCCCATTGGGACGGGGCCCTACACGAACGCAGACACCAGCCCTGATGCGCTGCTCGCAAAAGGAAATCAGGAGGAAAGTAGAAACTCGCTGGTGGAGGACGTAGTGTGTGCAGATTTGATCGAGAGAAGCGATGCGAAGGTAAAGTACGATGCTACCTTTATTTGGGTATTTGGAGAGAAAAGCCTCTATTTTGTGTATAGTCTTATGAATAATGGCATGTATTGTGTGTGTTATTCAGAACTGCAAAGCTACGGGCACAGTAACAATGGCTCGGAGTAATGGGGAGTCGGGGACAGATTGAGCTAGAGGTTACAGAGGCTGAAATGAAAAGTATATGACCAAAGGACAAAGCAATTTTTTTCACTTTGCTCTAAAATTCTGCTGCCAATCTGCAGCCATTAAAACCTAATTATTGGCACTAACTGCTCCGTAAGTACATTTCTCGTGCTTTGTATTTCCTAAAGAAAAGCAAGAGGAAAATGATGCGACGCTACAGCAGGGATCAGTTGGTCTCCAGGACACAGGAACCGGCAGCCAGGAGTCAGAGGAAGGTAATGAAGAATGCCGTGTGATGTGACTTGTTCTTCTGAGGCATAGCGATGAGTAGCCTTCAGAGATGAGATTATACAGATGTTTATCTTTTTCAAATCCGTTCAAACCCTCACACTGCAGAGGAGGGTGACTCACTCCCATCTGTAGGATTGCAGCAGCTGCTGCCTCTCCTCCCGTGGTCTGTGCGTGACACCTTTACTCTGGGGTCAAAGCACCCTGGGGCCTTGACACATGGGGTCTCCAGCCCTCCTGTCAGGACGGGAGATGCTTCATCTTCTGCTCCATGCAGGATAACGTTTACCTGCTGATTTGTTGGATGGCTGTAAGTCTAAATTTTGCATCCTCAGAACCCAAACTCTTTCCTTCCCGATTTATGAAGTGTCTAAAATGCCCTGATCCCTAAGTAACGAGCAGAAAACAGTCTGCCCTCTGGAACATCTGTTCCTGTGTCCTTCCACTCGCACCTGGATGGAAACAGACAAGCATGCTCTGGCCAAGCCTGGGCCCCCCCTGCCCCTGCACAGAGCGGGGCTGGGGGCACTGCGCGCTCTCTGTTTCTGTCGGCACGCCAAAATACAATCAATGTCTGTGAGCATATTTAGTTATACCACGCAAAAGGTCACTGAAAAAGAGGGGTATTTTATGGCCTTGGGGACACACCTGCATGCTGGTGGTGCAGGGTGAAATCCTCTTGAAGATTTGGGATATCCTCTCGGATGTCCCAAATGCCGGTGGGATGCTCTCCTGGCCACGGCCGTCCCGCATCTCTCCCTCCATTGGCGCACCCACCAGGCTGCGATAAGCTGGTGTGTCTGTATGTCAGCTGCCACATAAATATTGAACCTCTCCTCACAGAAGAGCAGATTAACAACTCGGAGTAGTTGTTGTGGTGCTGGCAAAGCTAAAGTCATTTGAGCAGAGCTATAAAAGATATATGGTCGTGCCTTGTAAACAGAAACTGGTGCTGCTTTGATTAAGAAAAGAAAAAAAAAAGTATGAACATTTGTCCTGGGCAAAATAATATTTCCTAGCAACTGCATGGGTTTTGAGGAGGTGAATCATGATGGTGGCTTTCCCACTCGGAGCTGACATCTCCACTCCAGCTGTGCTGCTTTACAAGTGCACAATAAAACCTATTAAACGATCTTGCACAGCCCCCCATCCATCTCAGCCACAAGCACTTTATCTCTAAATTGCAGGCAGCTTTTTAGTACCTAACCAATTTAGTCTAATTAATACTCAGGACTCCACAGGCAAAATGTTGAATAGACGGTTTGTTGTGACACTGGAGCGGAGATGTGCCAAACAGGACAAATACCAGATAGCCATCCAAGTGTCGCCCGCCACCTCTGAAGCCGGGACGTGCGTGTGCCCGCGTCCCTGGGAAGGCCACACGTGGGGTCCCTGCTCCATGGCCACGCAGATGGGTGCAGGCGGGTGAGCTGCAGCTGGGGGTGCCCCTCGTGGCACCGCAGTGTGTTGGGGGATGTATCTGGTCCCGGGAGGGCAGGAGGGAGCAGCTCGTCCTGCCAGGCAGCAGGCAGGTGGCATGGGGCGTGCGGGCAGGCAGCCCCCACCTGCATAACTCTGTGTTGCCTGCAGGGCCGGGCAGCGGGCAGCCAGCGCTGGGGACAGCGGCCAGCCCCAGCGGGGAGGTGGCGGGGACCCCCGCGGGCACCGCCGAGCAGAGAGCGAACGATGCTGAGGAGGAGGAGGAGGAAGAGGAGGTGGAAGAAGAGGAGGAGGACACCGAGGAGGATGAAGTGCAGGTGATAGAGATGCAGAAGGAGACCAGCGAGGCGTCCCGGCAGCAGCAGCAAGAGAGCGGCAAGGAGGTGTCTCCCCCCGCCAGCCCCGGCTGCAACGCCCAGGCTGAGAAAGCTGGGGAGCAGCCCAGCCTGGGGAAAAAGAATGACATCTCCAGACACAGCTACTCCCGGTACAACACCATCTCCTACCGGAAGATTAGGAAAGGAAACACCAAACAAAGAATTGATGAATTTGAGTCCATGATGCACTTATAAACTGAGGCGGAGGATTGCTTACTGAGACAGCAGTTCACTTTGGTTTTTGTTTTGTCTCCCTCCCCCTGCCCCCCGACATATTTCTTCATGCAACATGAAGTCACCGCTTTTTGGCTTTTTGTATGATTTCATAAAACATTGTGAAAATGTAACTTCTATGCTTCACTTTGCCAGCAGGCAGAGGCACCCATAGAACAGGAGAATAATCAGGTCACTAAGTGTAATACCATTTGATTTGAAGTTTACCCTTTATTTTCTATCCTTTTTGTTTGTTTGTTTGTTTGTTTTTTGTAACCATATTCCAACTCTGGTATGTCTGGAATGAGCTGGGGCTTGTGTAGCTGCAGGCAGGCAGGTGATCCAGCCGTGCTGGTACCGAGTTGGCAGTGCAGCCGTCCCGGTGGCGCTGGGCAGCACAGGGTGAATAATAAACGCCACGACTGTTTGCAACTGCAGTGCACTCCCTTGCTGTCTGTCCTTGCTGCCAGCCGGTGCCTCTCGTTCTGTGCTAGGAACCACCGAACGCGTTTGCAGCTCCACGTTGTGCTGGTGGGACGGAGGGCTGGCTGCGCTCCTGGCTAAGTGCAGCGGGCAGGAATTAAGCAAGCTCTCGCCCGAGGAGGCCGTACGTCTGCCATGGTTGTCAGAAGGCCGGGGCAGTTCTGGTGCTGTGCAGGCACCATGCAGTGCAGCGTGGACACACAGCGGTGCAGCTCACACACGCTGCCTGGGCACGCGCTGCACGTGTCCGTGCGGGCACACTGGTTCGTCCAATAAAACCGGCCGGCACCAGAAATCTGTTCTGAGTGCCAGCAGTGTGGACGGTGAGTTTTTGCTCTCATACATTTCTTCTCAATTTCCAGGGTAAGTTTAGATGCAAAATTTATAGGCTTTTTTCAAGACAGGGCAGATTTTTAACACGATTTATTTTTGTCATCTGAACACAGCCTTTCTCCATTTTTAAAACCCTTTGCATAACTACAGTGCTGTTGATTTAGTCTCTTTCAAACTGTTTTACAGAAAGCTTTGTCTTGAGTTGGAGCTAAGCTTTGCAGATGGCATCCCAGAAAGAACTGGGGAAAGTTGAGAGCAGCTGAAAAGGGAGAGGAGGTAAGAATGGGGGTGAGGCTGTGACTTCAACTCCAGGCCTCCTTTAGCCACAATTGCTTTTTAAACTATTAGTTTTTCATTTCCAGCAGCACTGAATATTGCTTTGATTTTTTTTGTTTGTTCCACATAAAGGCAATTATTTATTGGCAACGTCAAACTAATAAATGGCAATTCTGTATTGTACAAACAAAACACAGTCCTCATTGTACTATTCAGAATTGTTTATTTGCTCTTTGGCTCGCAAAAATTCAGAGGTTTGCTTGTATAAACTTATACTGCCAGTTTGTTCGCCTGCTCTCTGACAGCTGCCCCGCACCCCCACCCACTTCTGCCCTCAGCGATTCCTGTAAGGATGACGGCACATTTCTCCTAACGATTAGATAGTTACTGGGCTGTCTGGGAGACAGCTCCCCGTGACCTGCCGACGGTCACCTCCCGGCACGCAGCGCGCCTCGCAGTGAGGCCAGCTGTGCTCGCCGCGACAACGGGCCAGTTGCAGATGTGCTCAGCTGCAGTTACAGAGTGTAATGGGGAAGAAAATGGCAAAGACCCCAGGCAAAACAAAAACCTGAGGGTAAGGCTGGTGCCTGGATGAGTACGGCACGGGGAGGTGCATGCAGATGTCTGCAGGTGGGGTTCAGGTGGGAGATGGGGCAGCTGTAGCACAAAAGGCAGACATCCCTTGAGTTACCGTCTGTCCCTGCTGGTCTGCAACATTGGCTTATGCTCCTGGAGGCAGCCAGCACAGCACTCCCCGTGCTGTCAGGGCCGTGCTCTCCTGCTTGGCTTGGTGGCTGGAAAAGTAAAATGTAAACTCTGGGGATGCTGTAAGGGCCTCTTCTACAGACAGACCTCCTGCCAAACCCTCAGGGGAGCTGGAAAATGGAAATCAAGGGGCACACAGCAGCGAGTGAGCAGTACTGAGCTGAATACTCTCCCATGGGTGCTGCCACCCACACCACCCCAGGGCACAGCACAGAGCAGGGGCTGCTTCTGCCCAAAGCACGTCTGCAGCAAGCTGGAGCAGGAGCTGTGAGCAGCCGGGGGGAGAGCATGCTACAGGGCACCCAGGGGGACACAGAGCCTGGAAACGCCCCTGCTCCACGTGGGGAAATTTTGCACAGAAAACAGCGTGGGGATGGTGAGTAGGGTGACCAGCTCTGGGATGCTGTAACTGCAGGCCCAGAGTTGTTCTGAAAACAATTCCTCCCCATTTTCACAGTGCTAGGTTAGGGGATGGGCAGGAACGTGCCCCATGTGCCTGTGAGCGTGCCAGAAAAATGCTCTCCTTCCTGCAAACCCGGCTGATGGGGAGATCTGGGTGTTTCTGGGTGTTGTGTAACAGCGCAGCCAAGTTCATGGCCAGCGGTCCCCGAAGGCATGCTCAGGTCTGTAAGTAAAAGATACCAGCGTGGAAGTGAGCATTTACACAACAGGGGATAAAAGTGCAAGTGACAAGCCTGGAGATGTGATGTGACCATGACATGAGAACACTCGCTGCCTATTCAGTGACAAATGATTGAATGTCAGCAAACAGCATTTAATGAAATTCATGCTCCTGATAAAACATGACTGCACAAACAACATCTGTGTAATTTTTCTGATAGTGACTGCAGGCGAGCAGCACCAAAGGAGGGAGATAAAATCAGGAAGACATTTGGAACAGGAGCCAATTGTGAAAATCTGTTAGGCCAGTCAATATTTTGGCAGACACAGCCTGTCAAGTGCTGTCAGCATTGATCCTTGACGTGAGAGGTAGCATTATGCTGGTGCCACTTGAAAAATCAAAGGAGAGATGTGAGTTGCTTTGTATCAGCCTGCAAATGCTGCACGGCGAAGGCTCGGCCATCGTGAGCAGCGGTGTCAGAGCCAGGGCAGTGCTCAGTCCTGTAGATCCCGAGGTGCAAAGCAGAAGGCCCGTCTTTGGAGAAGCCCGTGTGGTACCCAGGGACACAGCACCACCTTCCTGTTGGTGACACCGCTGTGTACGGGTGGCAGCTCCTCGTGGCGAGCCCCTGGGAGCTGTGTGACACGGGGCTGGCCATGTCCTTTCTGTGGCGCTGCAGCGTCACCTATCTCAGGGCTCATGTCTTGTCACATCTGAGTTTGCTCTCCTCTCTAATCCAGACTTTCAAAAACCGGGGACAGCTTTTGGAGATGCAAGTTTCACAGTAAGAACAAAAGCTGCCTGCGACACCACGTTTAGAGGGACTCGTGGTGTGCGGGGCCTGACGGCCTGGCCCAGCCGCACGAGGGCCGATGAGGGGCAATGTCCCCAGTGCCGCGCTCCCTGTGTGAGGCCTGCGTGCCCTCACAGCCACCTGTGTGCCAGGAGAAGTGCCCGCGGGCTGCCGTGGGTGCTTGTCCATCCTGATCACAGCTGGGTTACAAAGTGGAGTGGGTTACAAAGCATCCTGCTGGGGGCTGCAGCCTGCCCCAGGTCTCGTGGGGCCGCCTGCACCCTCACCACGCAGGGCTGCGGGCGGGGGGCACTGCCCCAGCTGGCCATCGACCCACGCTTGCCTCCTGTTATCAAGAACAGGCTTTTTCGATGCACAATCAATTCCTAAGCCAACTCTGATGCTTAACTGTCAGGCAACAGGTCGTGCTGGGCAGGATCCTGCCATCAGGCCCAGCATGGGTATGTCAGATGGATTTTTGTAATGCATTGCTCAATAAGCTTCCATTTCCCCAGGCCGTTGAAAAACAAATGGCCCAATTTACTGTTTACAGACTAGAGAGCCCTGGAATTATTTCTGTTAGCTTATATTGTTGTCTGGAGGTAACTACTGAACGTGTGCTTAGAGTAGGAGGGGGGCGGGGGCTTCAGAAAATGTTTCCATTTAATAACACAGAAAAATTATTTGAGTTTTTGCCAAAGTGTTTCACAGTTGAAGGAAACCCACATTTCAAACGTCGTTAAACCAGATGTGCTACTCTTGGTATTTTGATCTCTCAATATGCCGGTTTAAATTACGGATTTCAATTACCATTTGGAAATGAACTTCCAGTTCTGTAATTGCTGTCACAAGTCCCGCAGATGCCATTGCTGAATTCACAAGATGAAAGCACGCTGCTTCTGGTTCGATTGTGTTCCCTTCAGTCTGCATAGTAATTGCCAAACTGCCACTTCTGATAAGGATTTGCGGAGTTGCAGGCGCTCACCCTCAGGGCCTGGAGAGACGGATCCACTTCCAGACAGGCGGGCGGCTGGAGGTGCTCTGCAACGAGGTGCTCTGCCTGCAGGGGAGAGGGGCGGGGGGTCCTTGGGCTCACGCAGCAAATGCTGTTTGAAGCCCAACAAAGCACGTTGCTCTGATTTTCTACTGACAGAGCTTGATTCTTTATGATATGCCTTTTTTTTTCTTTCTCCTGCATTTCCCTAACACGAGGTCTCTTTGCTGACTCAAAGGAATTTTGGGTGGGATCCAACACTTACACCTGTTGCTGAGCTAGGATTACACCATACCTTCTGTGCCTCGTGGCTTTTAGCTCCCTGGAAATTGAAGATTAGTTCTCTCCCCGTCCGAGTGGCAATTACCATGCAAAGGAAATCACTCCAGATGGTATTTGCAATATAGGAAAACGTATGTCAGGAGACGGATTTTTGTGTTTTGGAGTTTCTCTGCTAATGAACTCAAAGCACATTTACTGCAATGAAAAGGACGCTAGGTAATTCAGCAGTGAACTTCAAATGCTGGGGTAGTAAATTGGATTATGAAGGAATGAAGAGTGTGAGTGATATCAGTCCTTTTGGTTTTCCCATCTGCTCATCTTTATCTACTTAACCCATGTGGCCAGCAAGGCAGTATGACGAGTGCTGCTGAAGGTAAGGGATGCTCCATTTCACTGCCTAGCATTGCAATGGTTCTTACAATCATTCAGTTAATACCTAGATGGAATATTCCTGAAAGGACCAGTAAATTGTGACACTGCCCTGCCGCTTTGCTCATACGGGGACTGCCCTGTGAACGCCAGCACAGCGGTCTGCCAGCTCCCCAACTTGAGCTGAGTTAAGTGACCGTGTGGAGATGGTAAAACTGCGGCACATCAGAGCCTGGCACATTCCCTTGGCTCCTGTTTCCAGCTGTGCCTTGCCCACCAGCCCAGGCAGGGCGGCAGCACTGGGTGTCTGGGGCTGCCCGCACCCAGCCCCTCCGGAGCAGCCAGGTTTTGGGGGGCACCACGGCTTTCCCCATGCTGGCCGGGACCTTCAGACATGACTAACGCAAGCTCAGTCTGGAACAGGTGACAACGACTGTCTGTGTACCTGTACTGCTGTCTGGACTCCTAAGTGGAGGACAATTTTCTTGTACTTTTCACAAAATATCGTGGCTTTTGTCAGCCTTGCTGCTGCAGTGTTTTGGCTTCGAAAGAATTATCTTTTTAGACTGAAGAGGAATGGGATCTTGCCTACAGAACAAGTGTGCTACTTAACAACTACTCTTTTTCTTTCCTAAATGAAGTGTTGTAAAGTATGCCATTTTATAGCTTTTTAGGGAGAACGCCACTTACAGAAGGCTGACACAGATACAGCCATGACTTTCTGTCTTTTTGCAGTGCAGGTAATAAATGTAAGTACCCATTTTCTTCCTTTTCATAAATGTTTTCTGTTAGAAAAACAACACTGTGAACTGAATGCCGATCGATACCAAGTAATACCCACGTAAGTGCTATTGATCTCCTCTATGTAAAACCAGGACTTTCTGCTATTGTGCCACAAATGGCAAACCCCTGCTGGAGCGAGTGCCTCGGCATTGCAAGTTTCCATCTCGCCCTCTGGCCGGGCTGTGCAGCAGGATCTGGCTGCGGGTCGTGTTGGTGGTGAAACCTACAGCAGAGCGCAGCTTTACAGCCAGGCGGTGAAAGGCCGTGCGGGCAGGGGACCGAAGAGGCTACCTTCACCTCTGGGTGAAAGCTCTGGGGACATCAGCGGGCCCCCAGGCTCTGGGCCCCACGGTGGGCTCGTGCCTTTGCACATGTGTGTGATGGGACCGCCGCTGCCGAGGCCACTTACCAGCTCTGGCCGGGCTGCTGCCAGGCTGCTGTGCTGCCAGGCCAGGCTGCTCTCCCAGCCCGTGCACAGCCGCAGCTCCAGCGCTCCCGTGGTGCCTGCCGGGGCGATGCACAGGTCTCCGTGCCGGAGCAGCCGCAGCCAGGTGTAGTTGAATTTCTGGTCCTGTGGGAGGGATGGCAGGGAGCTGTCAGCCCGCGCCCCGCGCTGCCTTTTACAACCCACCCGTTCCATGCTCTCAGCACCCACCATGAGAACTGTGCCCCAGGAGAGGGCCCCTCAGGGACCGGCAGAGCTCAGGAGAGAGCTCATACCAGAGCAGCCCCAACCCGGCATGTGTGTGCCCCTCGGCAGTGCCTGCTACCCTCGGTGCACTGGGGTGAGCGCTCAGCGGGGCGCAGCTGGTGCTGCAGCAGCACACAGCACAGGTTTGGGTGTAAGCCTCTGTCCCCAAGCTCACGTGCAGGCTCATGGATCTGTCTGACCCTCCTGCTAGTTCTGGGGCAGGGCGCTTGTGCCTGGCTACAGCCCCTGCAAGCAGAGGCAATTCCTGCGCCTCCACTTGGTGTGTCTGGGGCAGGGTCGGCACCAGCCCTGCAGGCGAGGTGAGGTCAGTGTGGGGAGGTGCTACTGAGTGCTCAGTACGGGGTTATCCTTACCTCGTTGTTAACATCACACGTCTGAAAAGCTAGAGTGGTGTTTTCCACAGTGATGCATCTTGCTGTGGCTATGTTAACAAGCTAGAAAATAACCAAATGCAAATTTAGACACAAATTGTGAAGAAAGAGGAGAGGCTGTTACAATGCAGACACTGATTAATACTGTCAACGGAGTGAAGCAGAGGCATGGTGTCAGTCCTTGGCGGGGTGTGTAAGTGCACACGTGCCCTGTTACACGTTTTTCTAGCATGAGAAGCCCGACACCATCCCTTTCTGGGAGCATCCACAGCTGGATGAGACGGGCTTTTCCCTGGGTTTCCTTTGGACACAGCCGGTGTTCCCGTTCTGCAGATCCCTGAGCACCAGCTGCCCACCACGACCCCTGTCCTGCCACCACCCCAGGAAGGAGCGCGGCCCCCCTGGGGACACCATCCCCTACTGCCACCCCCGGGACCTGCCTTCCCTCTTCCCCTGGCAGAAAGCAGAGGGATTTCTGCATTTAGTGCAGCACCTGACACGCTCACTGCCCCACCTGCCTGTTTGTCACCTAGGCTGCCTGCCCTGGCACCGTCACCCACGGGGGAACGCAGCTGTGGTTAGGCCAGTCCTGTCTTTGATTCCTTGCAAATGTAGACTGCTGAAGAATTTCTGAATTAATCCCAGTGGGTAAGTAGGCTATTCAGAAAAAAAGTTCTCAAATAAATTTGGTTAGAGTTCAGCACAGCTGGAATTTGCAGAGCTAGCTGAAAAACAGATTTTCTGCCCTATTAAATTTTGAGAATGAAGATAAAAGAACCATTCAGGTGGCCTGAATCAGGACAAAGCAAGGCACCGTTGTGAACATTTTCGTGAACACAGAACTGAAAAGTGGAGGTTTTGCTTCTGTTGAAACAAAGGTCTCTATGCACGGTCTAACTGCATTGCACAGATTTCACATAAGGTTTTATTGCTCTGAGTGAAAGAGCTGAAAAAGTTGATGCTTTCCAAAAATTAATTTTTTTTTTGATGTTCTCAAGATTATCACTGCTAATCCTTTTTTTAAAAAAGTCACCTAAGCTGGTGTTTCACTGAAACCTTCGTTTTAACTCAGATGGTGTTTCCTAAGAGAAAGCAGAGGGACACAGCCTGCGGAGAGGTTTGAGGCTGTGTGCCTTGGCAGGGAGGCAGGGGACAGGCAGTGCTTGTTCTCAGTGCCTCAGCCGTGCCAGCCCCGTGGTCACCAGGTCCTGGCCACCTCCTCTCTGCAAGAGCCTCTCCTGCAGCTGCACTCAGAGACACGGGGTGGGCAGGGAAGGCAGCAAGGCCTTTCGTTTTGAATCCTGGCATCACTGCAATTAGTCTTACAAACCAGATGTTTAACCACCGTGACAGGCTGGGTACTCCAAAGTGGCACCACATGCCAGGCGTACAGAGACGGGCGTACCGGGATGCTGCCGCAGCTCTAGCTGTGAGCACTCTGACATGAAGAACAGCAAGTGGTTTGGGTACGTACCAGCCCGCTGGCTTTCACCAGGGGAGCCTCCAGGTCGGGGTAGACGTTCTCCAGGTACCACCTGAAACTTCGGCACTGAAGCTTCTTTCGCAGCGCGATTTGCTGGGTCAGGTCGCCCACGTCCAGGCGTCTCAGGACCAGGTGGTACGCGTGGCCGTAGAACAGCTCCTTGTACTCGTCCAGCCAGACCTCTGCGACACGGGCCAAGTTCCTCTCCACCGTTCTTATCCGATCTTTCGGGAAGGAGTAAGGGTTGTCATTCCTGAAAATATGCCCAACTCTGGAGCACGGAATAATCTCAATCTCTCCTCCGCACATCCAGACCTGAGGAGCAGAGGTTGCTTTGAGAGAAACACGGGCCAGGGTTGTGCTCTGGCTTTGCGCACGCCAGGAGAGAAGCAGCGAGGGGGGCAGCAGGGGGCTCGCTGGGCTGTGCCCTGCCAGGTGGGACAGGGTCCCCCGAGCACCCAAACCAGGCATATGGCAGCTTGGAGAAGAGGAGACGGAGGGGTGACCTTATTCATATTTATAAATATGTAAAGGACAAGTGTCAGAAGGTGGAGCCAGGCTCTTCTCAGTGACACCCATGACAGGACAAAGGGAAGTGGGTGCAATGTGGAACATAGGAGGTTCCGCTTAATATGAGACAAAACTTTTTCACGGTGAGGGTCACAGAGCACTGGAACAGGCTGCCCAGGAGGGCTGTGGAGCGTTCTCCTGGAGACATTCAAAACCCTTCCTGTGTGACCTGACCTCGCTGTTCCTGCTCCGGCAGGGGGGCTGCACTAGGTGATCTTTCAAGGTCCCTCCCAGTCCCTGACATTCTGTGACTCTGTGATTCTGAGATACGGGACAGGCTGCAGAGAGCAACGTACCTTGAATGAAATCTCCATATTTTCACCTCCCCAAACATCCAGTCCTGAGTCGTATGTCCCCAGCTCGAAGAAATACTTCTTGTCGATGGAAAACAGGCCACCCGCCATCACCGGGCACCTGGGAACAGACGAGCAAGGCAGCACGTCAGTCGGTCACAAAATACCCATCCTTTTCACCTTGCTTCTACACAGGAATCATCATGAAAATGTCAGTTACTGACTGCTCGGGGATGGTGCCCAAATGTGCGCTTACAGCATGGACCATCGGATTTGTCCTTACAGTGCCCACTGACAAATGCGAGATTAAAAGATGGTGTTTCGGAGTGGGGATGGGAGGGAAACAGGGTGGCACGGCACACAAAGGTACATCCTGGCAGCACCACGATGCACCCACGGGGCTGCAGGAGCATGAAACACTTGGTGGGCTTTGGTGAGGCGAGGTGATCTGTGCTGGGCCACCGCATCCATCGTCCTTACCAGCAAAACGCTTGGCCTGGAAGGAGCCTCTGTAGCTAAATCAGTGACCGCAGAATGGGCTGGTTCACAAACCTCTCCGATTCACTTTCTTTACCTTATTATATCGGTTTCCTTGATTTTGTTTTTCTCAATGACCTCTTGTGGAATCTGCCTCCATCCAAAATTCATCGGCCAAGTAAAAATCCCACGTTGAAAGTTATCCACGGTCATGTAGCTAAACACAGAAGAGATGGAGATGACTAATTCTGAGTCACATTCCTGATTGAAATGTCACACTTAATGAGCAAAGAGGAATATCTGCACATAATTAAAACAAGATTCTAACAAATTTCATCAGGAATCCTGCTTGAATTCATGAAAAAGTGAAAAGGTGTGTGCAGTAAATGAAGTGGCCATGGCTGCTGCTAATGTTAATTTGATTGTGTGGAAGTCACCTATATTGCATATCCCCTGTGAGACACTGTGGAAGGCTGATTAGAGGGTTTGTACGTATGTCTTTTTAAAATTAACATTTTTATGGCCAGGGTAAGAGGTTTTCTCAGGGCAATGGGTTGGAATCTCTGGGTTTCCCAGTGCTGTGAAGTGTTACCTCATGTCCTTGTCGCTGATGACCTCGATAACGGGGCAGGCCACCTTGGTGCGGCTCAGGCGGACCCTCTCCAGCAGCGGCTCCAGCCACCCCACATTGCACTCCACGTGCGAGTCCAGGAACGTCAGGACGTCGCCTGTGGGCAGAAGCCACGGGCACCATCAGGCTCTCACACCCCAAGCACCCCACAGGCTGACGGTGCCACAGCCCCACACCCTGGCACTTCCCAAAATTTCTCCGGGAAGCAGAGCTACAGCGGGGGGAGCTGGAGATCCGGATGGACGCTTGCTGACACCTTCAGGTGCCAGACAGCCGGGTTTGGCACCCCAAGATGCCCTCCTCCCAGCCACCTGTGAGCCACCAGCCCCTCAGCTCTGCAGCCCGGAGCCGCCTGGGCAGGGCTGTAGCACGGTGTCTGCTCAGCACGGTGTCTGCAGAGCAGTTCTGCTCAGCAGTGTTCAGCTGCCCACCACGTGAGCTCAGCGAGGGCAGCCAAGGGGAGCTCGTGCAGGCGTGTGGCCGGGCTTCTCCTTACCTTTGGCAACCTGCGCCCCCGCCAGCCTGGCCCGTATCAGACCGTGCCTCTCTTTGAGATGCAGGATCTTCACTTTTGGGAACCGTGACATGTATGCGTCGAGCTTCTCCTTGAGGTACTCTGTGGAGAAGGAGAGAATGAGGCTGCACGGGGCGCAGCTGTTTGCCAGCCGCAGGCTTTGAAAGGCTCCAGGGGCAAAGCATTTGCAGGGGGTCGCTGCTGCTGCCATTAGGTGACAGCAGCGCAGAGTACGGCTCCCTGTAACCCACTCGTACTAGCGAGGTTTGTGCTGCTTCATTGGCTCATGAGCAGACACAAGGGGAAGCCAGGAGGAAAGTGAAGAGGAAAACTGCAGAGACACTTTGGAGGAGGTGGTATGGACATGTTTAACAATTATTTAAAAAATGAGCAAGCGGAGCCCTTTTCCTTCTCTCACACCTATTGCCTTGTTGCATTAGGGGCTCTTTTGGAAAACGTTTTTATGTGCTGCCATGAGCCTTGCTGTCGAGACAGCACCTTTGCTGAAGAACCAGCAGTAGAAAAATTACATCGTTTTAAAAGCTGTAAGGGCTGAAGACAGCAGGGAGCCAAAGTATTACAAAGCAGAGGTTTGATATGATGTGAAATGTCTGTGACTACACAGGTGAAGTCACTGTGCATGCAGACAGGGCCAGATCCTGAATGCTTTTATCACAACCACCCCCGTGTCCGAGCAACCTGGACGTGTGCGCCTGCCACCAGCACTGAAACCCATGTGCACCCATCTGGAAACTGCGCAGAGAAGGGCGAGAACATCTTTATGAACGCACTGCCCTCGAGCCAGGACACCTCATGTGCGCGCAGGCTGCGTAAGCACTTCAATACATGGAAAGAAGGAAATGCGATTTCTTCCTGCAACTCAGAATTGAATTACAGAGAACAAATTGTATTTGAGCCTCAAGTTATATTAGTTTCATAAAGGCAGAAGCAGCTTCGCCTACCTTTCGTGCTGAAGTCGTCCACCAGAATGATCTCCTCGACCAGGTGGGGAGGCGAGCGGCTCAGGACGCTGTGGACGGAGCGCAGGAGGGTGGACCACACCTCGTCCACGAAGCACATGATGATGGTGGTGGTCGGCAGGTCGTCATGGACCCGCTGCTCCGAGCACCTGCAACGGCAGCACTGCTGCTGTGCCCTGGCTGCCTCCGGCTGAGCACCGCTGGGTGCTCAAAGGGGGTGCAGGAAGGGGATGTGGGAAACATGGAACAAGGGGGCTTGGCTCCCCATGGGGCTGGGCCAGGAGAGCAGGGGGCAGCCCTGCGGGGACGGGATGCACCCACCCTTTCTTTCCAGCAGGGACCTCTCTTTTCCACCCCACCCCCAGGTGACAACATCTCCTCCCCACGAGCAATGGGAGGGTGCTGGGGAGCGAGGCCGGTCCCAGCTCTGCACCCTGCTCTTGGGGACACCTGCGGGGAAAGGAGCCCTGTGCACGGGGTGCCCTCCTGTGATGCTCTGAGCTCCTGCAGGCGTGGGACCCTGGGCTTCAGGAGGTCGCCTTGTCTGGGAAAAGTCAGCAGCACGCTCAGAGTGCAGGGAACGGCCATTTCCAAGAGGGGCCACCCGGCCGGGCAACTTGTGGAGCCAGCAGATGGTGAGGAAGGGTCTCCCGGCCCAACCTCCGCACCTAACTGCTGTGCAGGATGGGAAGACACCCAAAAATCCGCCTGTTGTGTACTGGCATTGGCAGGTCTGCTCCCCCAGCACCCTGCATCTCACAGCCCAGCACCCACACCTCCCCACGGACACCCAGCACCACCAGCCATGCCCCAGCCCTGCCCAGGGGCTCCGAGCAGCACCCACGTCCCCGCAAACCACCCGCAGCCTGGGCCAAGGGAGCGATAACATCCTTCCACCGCCTGTGAGTTTGTCATTTTCTTTGTGACAGCCCAAAACGCAACGTCTGGGTCAGGCCTGTGTCTGCAGTGTTTGAACAAAAGGTCGATGAGCAGCTTTGCTCATCGCTATTTGCAATTCAAGCACCACTTTGCTGCCTGCCCGCGGGGAGCTGGGCTCCTGCAGCAATCCATCTCCGAGGGCATCTCGAGGCGCCCGGGGTGCCTCAAGGAAGAGCTGCGGGCCCCTGAACACGCCACTTTATCCCGAACATTCATGACGCACTGGGACTTGCTTTCTCTCATCCATAAGCTGTCTGATAACAGGTTCTCCTCTCTTCCTTCCAGAGCAGACCTCCTGCAGGCAGGACAGGCACCAGCCTGCCTGCGGATGCAGAAAATGAATTTATCAATGATGAATCAGAGCTCCTGTTCACTCCGTTATCCACAGCGGACAGCAAACGGGGCCATATATATATATGCACATATATATATGTGTGTGAATATATATATATACATATATATGTATGTGGGAGTGTACAGAGAAGTGACTTCTTCCTCAGAGGTGTTGGCTAGCCAGGAGTGCTCTGGGTTAAGTGAAAATAGCCCCCAAATTACAGACCCCTCGCAAGGCACTTCCCCGGCACCTGGCCCAGCCTCCGAGGGGCAGCCGTGCAGGATGCAGGACGGGGCCGAGGCAGCACGTGGTGGAGGCAAGTGGCTGCAACAGGCAGAAGCAGCTCTTTGAGGAAACCTCAAACCGAGGAGTGCCTTTTTCTCCTTCCTTGCCTAAAAAATAGGGGTTCTAGGCGGAGTAGTGGGTTCATTACTGTCGATACACAGCTAAAGGTATTCACAATGTTCTATATGAGTTTGGGCTCTGTTTCTTTGCTAATTACATAAATACACATACAAAAATAATATATAAATATTACTCAATATATATTGCTAATATTAAGCAGAAGCCAAATTCTGTTGGAATTTCACCCTCAGAGGGGCTTCTACAGAAAAACAGTCCATAGCCTCTGTGTCTGGCTAACTTCATCCTCCAAGTCAGTCAAGTGCGGGCTCTTATGTCGCTGAAGTTGCTTTGGAAGATCTTTCTGTTGGGTCTGCTGCTCCTGAGCCTGGCAGCAGCCTCACCACAGCCCTGCTCTGCCCCACCTGCCCAGCAGCTGGCACACCGCGCCTGCTGGCACCCAGGGGCTGACTCACTGAACCGTACAGTGGCATGCAGCACTTTTTTTTTACCAGGCTCTGCATTGAGTGTTCTGCCTGCAAACGTCACAGCTGCCCTGGGGCATTTAACCCAGGCTGTGTGGCTTTTGCATCTTGCCCCTCCGTGGGTGGGACCCTGCCTGCATGCACTGCTGCAGAGGGACGGCGCTCAGCAAGCACCAGTGCTGGTCAGTAACGCTCAGCAAGCAGCCAGCGTTACACCCAGACAGACTGCAGAGAGCTGGCCTTCACGTCCAGCTTTCCCTGTGCCAACAGGCCACGTGCTCAGAGCCTGCACGGCTCCTGCCAGCACTGGGGTGCCCGCGGGTGCTCCCCAGGTCACCATCCGCAGGGTGCAGCCTGACCCCATGTGGCAGCACAGGTCCCGGGGCCAGGGTGCTGGGACCAGCCCCTGTTTGGCTAAGGTGTTATCCCGGATACCCCAGCGGCTACGCCTCCCTTCCCGGCAGGTGCCTGATTCATCGGAGGCGGGCGGGTGCTCCTGGAAGGCAGGCAGGTGTTCTGCTCTGCAGCTCGCCAGGGCTCGTCTTTCAAGCCTGGTTTTGAGCCACGTCGGCTCTTTTTCTGTATGCAGCCGGCTCCCATAGCTGGCATCTGCACGCTGGAAAGGTGCTGCAGCTCCTTCCCTGCCCTGCTCCTGCCTCTCCAGGACTTCACCTCGGCTCACAAAGCGAGTAATGACAGCGGCACAGGAACACCTGTGTATTGTCCTGTGTGTCACAGCACAAAGCCCGTGCCACTGCTCCCATGCAGGGGCAGGAGGATTCACCTGAATTTGCACCTGTTCCAGACCTTGTCTGCAGCGATTCAGGTGCACCTGCCCTAGAAAGCAGCCCCATGAATGTCTGCCCCTTCTGTTGGCAAGGTACTGCCCACATCTTGCCTTGCTTTTGCATGTGGACTATGGCAGGGCATTGGTTTGTTTTTCAAAGTGCAATACTGACATTTGCAGACTCAGCCGCACATTGCAGGGGGACGGCTGTGAAGCAATTGCTTACCAAACCACAGTTCTGCCCACAGGCCCCGAGCTCACACAGCGCACACCCACGTGGCGCTGGGCAGCACAAAATCTCCATGCAGCAGCCAGCGATGCTGGTGGGAAAAAGGAGCAATCCCGAGGACATCCCAGCGCTGCCGCAGCTGCAGGCAGCCACCTGCCGTGTCCTTGTCTCAGCATTCATCAGGTGGCTTTGCCCAGGAGCCCCCTCTGAGCCCTTTAGGTGGGTGAGGCCAGTGGGGTAGCTCTGGGGGGGATAGGAAGGGGTAGTGGCAGCTCCAGGCGTGAGAGCACCAGTGCTCCCGGGCAGGGAGGGCTTCAGCTGCCTGGGCACGTTGGTGGTGTGCAGAAGTGGCTGGGGAACCAAATGCACGGAGAGCGATACAAAGCAGTGCTCGCTGCTACACCCAATAAGGCAAATAAAACATTTTAAGGCACAAAAAGGCCCGAGCCCCATTGTCTGCCTCATGTGCCCCAGCCGGTTTGGACACCAGGGAATTTTACCTGGCTTTACTGTTAGTGACGAGCTCCTCTCACCTGGGGACACGGAGCCCTGTCAGTGCTGGCATGCCCGCAGCCAAGGCCTCGGTGCCCCCGCTGCCCCCCCCGCGAGCCCCCCGGCAGCCCGTGCGCAGGGCAGCACATCTTACCCGGCAGGCCTGGTGTCCGCCACGGCTCGGTCTACGGGGATCAGGTCGCTGAGGTAGACGTTAAAGTTGCCTTCTTTCCACCTGCTTTTTGCTTCTTCTTGCTTGTCCTCAGGGACTGCCACAGGATGCCCAAACTGCCCGGGAGCCTGGGGGTCTCTGGGGGCCAGCGTAGCATCCACGGCCAAGACCCTGTGTGTCCCGGGGCTGCCCCCCGGCCGGGCTGCGCGGCTGCTGCTGCCCGCCACCCCCTGCCTGCCCTGCTCGGCTGCCCCCCCGGCATCTCCTGCCGGCCCCGCACCTGCTGCCCCAGGGGAGCGCGGTGCTGCGGCGCTGCGGGTGGTGCTGGCGGTGAGGTTGATGCTGAGCCTCGTGGCTGCGAGCTGCTGCGCTCCGCGTGCTTCGGGGCTCCGCCACAAGTTTGGCACGGCGTCGGACCCGGGGCTGGGGGCTGCTGCGCTGCTGCTGGGTTTTGCCCCCGCCTTGCCGATGAGGACGAAGTATTTCTCAGGGGATGCTGCTGCCTCTCCCGCTCGGGCTCCGCGGTGCCACGGTGCCTGTGAGGCTCGGTGTGCAGGGCTGCCGGGGGGGGCCGGGCTCCCGTGTGCGCCGTGCGCGGCTCCCTCCGGCACCGCCGCCCCGGCCCCGGCTTGCTCCGCGGGCTCAGGCGCCGGCAGGTCCGGGCTCAGGGCCCTGTCCCTCGGTCCCCCGGCGCTTGCCGTGGCTGGCGGTGCCCCGGGCGGCCGGGCCGTGCTTGCGACGGCGCCCGCTGCCGTCCTCGCTGCCCGTGCCGGGGGTCCGCTCGCCGCCGGTGCCACGTCGCTCCGCGCGGCCGCCGCAGCCGGGGACCACCCGACCCGTCGGGGCGCAGCCGGCCGGAGGGAGCCCCCCGCCCGGCCCTGAGCAGCGGAGGGCTGCGGGCTGCCCGGGGGGGGCCCCCCCGTGCCGCTCGCCGCCCGCCGGGCTGCGCCCCCCGCCGGGCTCCCCTCCGCCGCCGCCGCCGTCGCGCTCTCCGCGGCTCTGCCCCCGCCCGGCCCCCGCGGCGCCGCCGCCAGGGGGGGGCCGGGGTCCCGCCGCCCACCGCCCGGCGGCCCCGGGGAGCCCCTCCAGAGCCGGCCCCGCTCCCGCTGCCCCCGTCCCGCCGCCGCCAGCGCCCGCTGCCCGGCGGCGTCGCCGAAGGAGAGCCGGAGCGCTGCCATGTCAAACAGCAGCCACACGACTGAGGCCACGAAGACGAAGGCCAGCGCTCGCCCGCTGCCGCGGAAAAGCTTCCGGAGCTTGTGCATCCTCACCGCGATCCCCGGCCGCCCGAGGGGAGGGGGGCGGTGCAGCCCCCGGCCCGGCCCTGCCCTGCCCTGCCCGGCCCGGCCCGGCCCGGCCCGGCGGGGGGAGCTCAGCCCCGGGCGCCCTCCGGCCGCTGCCTGCGTGGCATCCTGCGGCCGGCCCGGGGCAGGGAGAGCGGCCCCGCAGCGCGCCCCGCGCCCCGGCCCGGCTGCTGCACACGTTGCCCGGACAGAAAGGAAGGTGGCGGGGCAGATCTCTTTTTTTTTTTTTTTCCTTCTCTCCACCCAGCCCTCAAAGGCTAAAGGCTGCGCTGTAACTCAACACCTCCTCGCATAAGGAAACTATTTCAGGCCATTACCCAGCAAACTTTCTGCCGGGCTCTTACCTCCCGGGTCCTGCCGGCTGTTAACCGTTTCGGCAGGACTTTGCCCGAGCCGCAGCTCCCCTCCCGGCCTGCAGCTCCCCACCGCCCCCCTCCGAGCCCCGCTCCCCGCAGCGCTCCCGCAGCACGCAGGGGACCCGCTGGCAGGGGATGCACGCAGCGGCTCCGGCTCTCCTGCTGCCGGTTCAGCTCACGGCGTTCCTGCGGGTGACGAGGAGGAATGGGATGCAAGGTGTCTCTTTTAGGTACCGCAGCCAGCGCACGGCGGGGGACGGGGCAGCGCTGAGGGAACGCAGCTGTAACCGGGGCTCTGCCTGGCAGGGACTGGGCACGGTCCCGGAGCAGTGCCGGTGTGTGATTTACGCGGCTGTGGGCGCTGCAGCGTGGAGGTTCAGCCTCAGCTGAACGCGTGGATGTTCGGCCCATGCCGCCTTAATTCCAGGGCACGCGAGCCACAACTGCACGGCGCTGGCTCGGGCAGCTGGCACAGAAGCTGTGTTTACTGAGCATGGGCTGAGAAAAGGGTCGGGGAAGTACCCACCCTGCTCCTGCCCTGGGCAGCAGGTGAGGATGTGGAGGGCTTCCTGGAGCTCTATAAACACCCCCATGGCAGCGCTGCTGGTCTGCACGGCCCTGGCACAGCCCCACGGCTGAGGGCACAGCTGGGTGCGGTGTCCCCTGGGGTCCCCGCTGCCCAGGCCCACAGGCTGCACATGGACAAAACCCACTGGATCGTCAGCAGAAGCTGTTCTGCAGAGATGGGCACCCTGGGTGGCCTGCGTGGGCCCAGGGTGTTCAGGAGATGTTCTGCGTGGGGTCGGGGTGCATCCATCGAGACGTGCAGGACAGCCACCGAGTGGGGACAATGCTGGGCGGTCACGGCAAGGTGCAGCCTGTAGGTACGGTCAGCTTAAAGAGCTGTGACCACCTGTGGTGTATGGGAACTGCTTGTGGTATAAGGGCACCACTTGCAAAAACTCAGGATATGGGTATGGATGTGGAAGAGGGAAAAGCTCAAGTCGGTGTTTTGCAGCTCTCTTAAAATCTGGTATTAACAAATTTAAAAGCAATGCACAGTATCCCAAATCACAAAACAACATATTTTGAAAGCATTTTCTAAGTCTCCAACCCACTGTAGTGCATATATGAATACTGAAAGAAATAAATAAGTGGAAAAAAATGCATTCATATTCATACTTAAGAAAAAATAGTAGTTTCAAAGCCCAGCCTGTGTTTACATTGTGAGATCTAAGGCATACCTTTTTGAAATAAATGGCAATTCTGTTGTTCTTCCAAGGCTTTTCTTTGTAAAGCAAGCTCACTGAGACGTGCCGGGCAGATCTGATTTCAGCAGGATTTGTTTGTGCGGATGGTACACATTTAAGGACTTTCAGGAAGAGGGAGTAAAGAATAAGATTGCAAAGGGATTGTTAAGAGGGGACAAATGAGTAGCTGTCGGAGACTAGGATAGCTCTGAGTCAAGATTAAACGCAAGATAAATAATACCTTCAGTTTAGAAGTAAAAATTTAAGTTAAACCACGGTCTGTGGTTTCCTTCACCACGCTGGCACCAGTTCTTTGTTTTTATTCTGGTTTCTTCCCTTGCTGCTTCTGTCTGCCTGTCCCAGCGGCAGGAGCACTTGGGGTCCTGCTGTGGCGTGATGTCCCTGGGGGGCTGCGTGTCCCCTCTGACCCCATGGGGTGCTCAGGGAAGGGAAGGGAAGGGAAGGGAAGGGAAGGGAAGGGAAGGGAAGGGAAGGGAAGGGAAGGGAAGGGAAGGGAAGGGAAGGGAAGGGAAGGGAAGGGAAGGGAAGGGAAGGGAGAAGCTTCCCTATCCCTTGGGCTTGTCCCTGCGATGTCCGACCCGTGGGAAGGGGAGGTCTGTAATGGTTCTCCAAGCGTCGGCTTCTGTTTGTTCGTTACGACAAAGTCGTCACTGGTTGGGTATGGTCAGACATTCCCACTGTTAGCTCTACGCCTTGGCTTTCCTCCTTGGCAAATATAAACGTTCCAGATACTTGAACAGATTCCTTGACACAAGACAGCTGCTTCTGTAGGGAGAAATTATTTAATCAAGGCTACTCCATCATTAAAATAATCTGAAGTGTCAGACTGAAAAGCACAGAAGCAAGCTAACTTGAAGATGAAAACTCAACATTTTTTTCCAGCCAGAAGTGTGCCAGAAGGTGAGGTAACATCACAATAAGTTGCTCTGGCTCTCTGTATAATATTTTCTTAACATATTAAAAAAATATTGTCCAAAGAGCAGCCGGGGAGGAATGATCCCATACCAAAGGCTGGCTGGCTTGGTAACTTGTCTTTCTGCTCTGGAGCATAAGAGACCAAACATAGCTGAAGACAACTCCTTGGTCCACAAACGGCAAGATTAGACCCCTGTGGGTAAGCATACCATGCAGAATACAAGGGCCCTTTTGGCTGAAAATAGCAGAAAATAGTGCAAATGGATAGCTCAGAAAGCCGTCAGGCTCTACCTCTTGCCATAAGGCAGGATCTGCTATATCTTAGTTACTTGATGACTTAATCACTTCTGGCATGGATATGGACACGGGCACGCACTAAGCAAGCCATGCTGAAAAGCACCTTCGTGTAAAGAAACCCTGCTCCGTGCAGAGAAGGGGACAGCAGCAATATAGATGTGCATAAGCATGAATGCCAGTAGAAGAAAGAAAACTTTGCATTTAAGGATCTGACTCAGAAATTGGTGTATGTATCCTATCATCACCTTTGCTACATTTGAAGGTTAAATTTTGTGCACGAGGCGGGTCTGCCTGCTCCTCCCTGCACCCCAGGCATCTCGGTCGTTAAAGCCACCGGAGTGCTCGGGCTCTTTCCATCTAGCTCACACTCTGTATGTGTTCCCAGTTACGAATCATGTTTTCATTTCTGAAATACAATCTTGCCTACCAAATGATAATCAACTCACCACAAAAACTTTATTTGTGAATGGTTTGTTCATTAAGATACCGAGTTCCATAAGATATTAGTTGTACTAATTAAGAATGTATGATGAATCTCTCTGTGTCTGTGCATCGTCTCTGAGGCCTGCCAGCTTTAGCACTGCTGATTAACCTTAACTGAATTTGACAGAGCAGCACATATCCTGAAGACCTTAGGTACCCAAGTGGAGGACAGACAGCCCCAGCTCAGCGCCCCGCTGAAAGAAAAGGTGAATGCTCACCCACACTACTAGGCATCAGAGAATCCACGCTGGTGGGCGGGTAGGAAGGGCTCGGCTGCAGGACCTGCTGCAGCAGGCTGTTACCTCGTTCGGTGGGATATTGGACATCTGGGAGCACGGGGGCTGGGAGAACCACGTGGCGGAGCTACTTGTTTTGCTTTGCTTTCTGCTTTCCCTGGCCAGGCGCTGAGCGTGTTTTGGCAGGGGCGCCGGACTGGGTTCCAGGCAGTGACTAACGAGGCAGGAATCCACGCGGGGGACGTGCTGCAGGATGAGCTGACCTGGCCGTGCTCCCCGTGGGATGGGGCAGGGGCTCCCCCAGCTCGGGGGCTGCAGCCCCGCGAGGGCAGGAGGGCGTAGGGTGCTGGTGGCTGATGTGATAATTGTCCTGCAGTCTGTGGCTCATCATGCGGTCCTTCCCAAACACATCCGTGCTTCTGCTCACCAAACAGTTGTTACTGCTGGGAGGAAATGCTTCTCTCCTTTAGTTATTAAAGCGCGGGCTGTATTTACAGGCTGTATTTACAGGCAGCGCTGCAGAGAGGCTCCAGGCACCACAGCCTGCAGAGAGCACGAAGCCCTCGAGCGCCTATCGGGATGGCGCAGCGTCTGCTCCCCGTCCGCGCAGCATCGCTGCCTCCAGAAACTGGAACCCGTGAAGTTTTCCATAGCGAGCAGTGGAACAAGTTAGCCCTGGAATGAGGAGCAGAGCGGATCATTCGTGCGTCAGCAAATGTTTGTGCTACAGAAACAAGCATCTGCCCTCTGCATCGCTGAGAGCCTGTTCCTAGACAAAATTCACAGCCCTTCATTAAATAACGTATAATAAAGTGTAACATAGTGTTCCTATAATGCAGTAGCAGGTATGTGCAGTACTTAAACCTAGATGTGTCCTATGGTAAGCTGGCAAATCACAGAGAAGTGTGAAAACTTCAGCTAAGTCTCTGGTTCCCCTGTGTGTGCCAAAAAGGAGTTTCACCCTTCTCTTTGGATTTTGCTAGTGGTCCAGCCCGCAATTTACCACGCTGTAATGTCTGCGGTGAGTGGGGTCCTGCACAGGGGTATCTTATATCTCTTAATATGGAAATTCAGGAAGAAAAAAATAGGAAACATTAAACTTGGAGTATGCTTGTGATTTATCTGGAATGCCGGGGTGCTGGTGATTTTCCTGAAATCCCAGCAGAAAACAGTTAGTCCTACAGCCAGACAAGAATAGAAGCTTTGGCTCTGAAAGGAAAGTTTATGGTCTTGTTCTGCAGTAAAGCTGCCAAGCTGTAGACGTAGAAAACTAGCAAATATTGGAAAATTATGTGTTGGAGGCTTAAACATTTGAAGATTAAGAAACTAAACTTTACATTTCCATTTTTAAAGATTTCTCGATTTTTAAGCTGACCCCATTATTCTGGGGACGGGATGATTTTTGATGTATGATGCCGGCGAAGCTCTATTTTTAGATATCTGTTTGTACAAACTATAACTGAGAACAGCTTTCCCCAAAACGGAGCTGGTTATGTAATAAAAGATTAGAACAGCCATTTAGTTTTATTTTTTTTTGGTATAAATAGTGACCTACTTTCACAGTGGCTCTCCTGGGCCACGTACGGGTGTGTGTGCTGCTGTGCAGCCGGGATGCCAGCGAGGGCAGCCGGGGCTCCCGCGCGCCCCAGTGCCTGCGCTGGGATTGGGAATGGAAATAGCAGCGGGTCTCCGTCATTTGCATAGAGGTCATGTTTTGCTAATATGTGTCTTGTAGAAGCAGACAGCATGTAAAAGAGGATGGTTAAAACCTGACCCAGAGATGTTTTTAAATTTCAAATTATGCATAAAGTATGCATTAAATTAATTAGGGAATTCATTAAGAAGAGAAGAGTAAAGAAACTAGTTAGCAGTGTGCAACATTTAGTAATGGAAGCCGTTTTCTATAATTGTTATATATAATTTGTCTCATAACATTATCCTTTGATAAATTATTGCAGCATAATATGATATATGTAGCTTATTAACAGTTTCATTAATTACTATTAGAGCAAAGACACTCTGAAATCT